GGCCTATTGCACAATCGGCCAGTTGACCTCCATAACTCTGATATCCTTGGCGTAATTTCCACTCTTCTTGGCCTGATGCCTGAACTCATGGCCCGAAGCCTTCTTCTAATATGTCGACCGATCCTCCGGCTCGACATCTAATCTTCTGACATATTCTACTCGGCCCAACATGATTTTTCTTGCTTTAATTGTCTCTCAAGCTTCCTATGTCACTCAAAACATAAATCAAATCATAAACACTATCGATTGGTTTCATCATCAAAATTTGAGATTCAACACTTATTGGATCTCATCCATAGGATCCAATAACTCAGGGACTTATTGGATATCCAATAAGATAGGGGTTCCGACAGATATCTCATATTCGAACCTCTACTTATCGTAATGTCTACCATATGTATGTGACCCTCTAGGCCCAATATCGAGTTGGCCGTGAGTCATACCTCTTAGAACTCCTTTTGGCTCAATGAATTATTATCTCCATAATAATTCACTCGACTCATCGACTGTGGATGTACTAGGCTACTATGTCATAGTCTCATATGATATACGAGAATCCAATCCATTGGACCTATCTGTCCTCAGTTATCGTGTACATATAGTCCCTCATTCATCTAATATCCTAGAGATCGTATACTGGGCACGGTGCTGTTAGACACATACGGTTTCTACTCGAGAATTTCATGCTCCTAGGGCTTGTTTAAGTTCATAAAGAGCTCTATTTAACTTGTATACTTTATCTTCTTATTCATGAATAATAAAACCAAGGGGTTATTGAATATATGCCTCTTTTTCAAGAACCCCATTAAGAAATATTGATTTGATATCTATTTATAAAATTTTTCATTTCATTTGAGCTGCTAGAGAGATAAGTAATCTTACTATCTCTAGTCGAGCAACTGATGCAAATACTTCTTCATAGTTAATCTCATATTGTTGTTTGTATTCCTTTATAATTAATCGAGTCATGTATTTCTCCACCTCTCCTTTTGCATTTCTTTTTGTTTTGAAGATCTATTTAACACTGATAACTTGGTGGTCTTCTGGAAGTGTAGTATGCTCCCATGTTTTATTTTTGTTAGTGGCATGAATCTCTTCATTCATAGCTTATCGTCATTTTTCTTCTCTATAAGTTTCTTCGAAGGTTAATGAATCATATCCTACAAAAAGATAAAATAAAGAATGTTTATCATTATTAGTATCAATCCTTCGAGTCACATCATATAGCTCCTGAATTAGTCTTGTCCTTCTTATAATCAGACTTCTTGAATCATGTGACCTAGCTAATCTTGGTGATGATTCTGGCAAAGTTACTTCGGTGTTTGCTTGTATTATATCATCCTCTTGTGAAGCCATAATTTTCTTATGCTGCTTATCACTTTTCTAGTTCCAAATCTATTGTTCATCAAACTCAACATCTTTTGACATCATAACTTTATTTGTGATAGGATTGTAGAGTTTGTAACCACTGGAATTCTCTGGATAACCTAGCAAAATACATTTCTGACTTTTATCCTTCAATTTTGTTCTCTTTTCTTATTGTATCTTATCAAATGTAACACTTCCAAAAATTCTCAAATAATCAACTCTTTGTTTTTGTAAGCTCCATGCTTCTTCTGGTGTAACATTACCGATTTGTTTTATCGGAAACCTGTTAAGCAAATAAATTGCACAAGCAACAACATCTCCCTAAAATTCTTTAGGAACTTTTTTTTTCCTTTAACATACAGAAGACCATATTAAAGATAATCCTATTTTTTCTTTTTGAGACACCATTTTGTTGAGGTGTGTATGGCATGATGAATTGATGTAGAATTTTATTATTTCTATAAAAACTTTCAAATTTATTTGATATATATTCACCACCCCTGTTCTTAAATATTTAATCTTATAATAACTTTATCTTTCAACCAAATCCTTAAATTCTTTGAATTTATTTAAAACTTTTTCTTTTCTTTTAATATGTATACCCAAGTTTTGCCACTATGATCATCAGTGAAGGTAAGAAAATACCTGCTTCCTCTAAGTGATACTGGATTGATAGTGCCACAAACATCTATGTGCACTAGATCAAGTCGATGTTATGCTTTTTTTTGTTCTTTTAACTTTGAAATGTTTTCTTTCTTGCCTACCTATGATACATACTTCACATAATTTTAATAGGTGATCAATTTTTGACATTCCTATCACTATATTATACTTCTCTAGAAGTTTCAAAACCTCAAAATTTAAGTGAGCTTATCTAAGATGTCATAGTGTAGAAATATCCTCAATATATATTTTAAAATAATTTAATTGATCAAAAATATTTAAATGTAGATGAAACATTCTATTCTTTGTTATTTTCACATGTGATATCAATGTTTTATTCTTGTCACGAATTGAGAGAGTCATATCTTTCATCTCAATATCATAATATTTTTCAAGTAATTTTTCCAAGCTTAAAATATTATTTTCATATCATAAATATAATAGACATCTGAAATGCATAATTCTTTACCATTATTTTTACCTTTGTCTCTTACTGGTCTTTAAGATAAATCACCAAATGTTGTAGACAAAGTTTCTTTCCCTAATCAACACCACCGAATACTTTTTGAAGCATTTCCCAAGCCTCCTTTGAAGTATTTGCCGGAGCGATGATCTCAAATATTGTATCATCAAGCTCTTGATAGATCATGAACAAAGTTTTTTTCTCCTTCCTTCTATCTTTGAATTGCTTTTTTGCTTTTGCATTCATTGCTCGTTGGATTTGGTTCAACATATCCATCTTCTACAAACTCTCGTACATCTTGAGAGCCTAGAAGAACCTTCATTTGGGGAAAAGACCATAGCTTAACCTGGCTCTGATAACAAATGTTAAACTTGATAGAAAAAAGGGATAGAGTTATCAAACAAAGGAAGAGTATGATAAGCTTCAATCTTCTATATTTCTCTGGAAGGACTCTTTATATTTTCAGAAACTTTATTTATTTCATAACCTAACGGGATTTATATAGTCCTTAAGATACATTACGTTAATTATATTCAAAATGAATCATTTTCTTTTAAGAAACACTTTCAAAAATCAATAACCAATTTGATTTATCTTTCCATAGATATTTAATCTTTTTTTTTTATATATAATGAATATCCCTCTTGAACTATTGCAATTTGATACAATGACACTGTTATGACTAAAGCAAACAAATGAGGCACACTAAAAGTCAAATAGCCTCTAATACCTCGACGATAAAGCCATTGTTTATGACTAATTACCTTGGCATATATTAAAATCAATTTCATGAAGTATTCAAAGATGAAATCAATTAGTAAGAACAACGATGCATGAACTGCCAGGATGAAAGGATGCATATATTGCTTCTCTTTATATTCATAAAATCTCTTTAGTTTCCTAATATTTCAATGATATGAGATTAACTATCTGGATTTTTTTTTTTGCTAGTGAACTATGTAAAAAATATTATTTTCTTAGTTGAATTAAGAATATTTAATTTTTTATTAAAAATAATTTTAGATACTCCTAATTTCTCATCAACATCTGCATGTCTCCTTAACATATGAATATAACATCTTATACGGCTTAACATTTTTATTTCATTTCAGGTATAAATTGTTTATATATTTTTATTTTTCAGATATAAACTTTTATATATTTTGTTTTATTGTTCAACACTCAATTCGATAAAGCATGGCTGGTTTATGATGTACTTAAGCCTCCAGCAGCTAGTTTACCAATTATTTAATTGCAGATATTATTGGAAAAACATGTACTACTAAAAAAATGTCAATTTTGGGTCATAAGCTAATGATAACTAAAGCAATCTAACCAGCCAAGATGAAGACATAAAGAGGGGTCACAATATGCTGGTGAATGCATGCAAGTCCTCTTCTTTCCTACCAAAGAAGAGAATATTCCTTTTCCATGGCCCCTTCCAGCTAATTCCCCACAAGTTTTGGGTTGTACAAATAGATTATTCTCTCAACTTCAATCAAGAAAGGTTGCTAAAATAATCTTTGCCATCTAGCTCAGAAATCATGACCACAATTTGCCAACTGTTGCCAATGAAGAAATAGCTAAATGGACAGTTCTTCTAGAGTTCTTGTAATGAGCACATGTTGGAGTCAATGGTGGTGAACAACCTACCTTTCAGCAACAAGTAAACAAATGGCTTGTACTGTTGGGCAAATCCGTGTTGTAGATGCAGAAGTCTGACATAAATAGTCACTTGGTACCAAAAACAGCCAAGCAGTTGGTCCATGGCCTGGAAAGGAACAGGAGAAAAGCCCTTAAGTTCACATAGGAAGAACTAAGTGAGTCTTTGACTTGAGTACATGAGGAAAAGAGCAGACGGCAAACCAGACTTTGGAGACTAGATGAGGAGCAAAGATAACTTTTGCCACAAGCCTCGTTGTTCACAACTGGCAGGGAGCACTTGCACAGACAATGGATCTTATAAAACTTTGCCAAAGATATGGTAGAAAAATGAGAATGGGAAAGAAAGTGATTTATGGATCCACAACATGAAACATCAGCATACATATATTATCTCGCTCTAGAGAGATAGATTTGGACAATGTAGCTCAAGAATCTTTCCGTCTTTTTCTTTTCTTTTACATGTACAAGGAAGTAGCTGAATAGCACTTCCCCACAACACAAAGAGAATAAAATAATGAACAAATCTGGAAGGGGCGTTTGAATCAGATGAAACCCTCCTTTTATGGCCCTCGAGAAGGGGCCTGTTATAGCTACAAAATTGGATTCTGAGCTGCCACTTGCACCAGTATCATCTCATGTTGCAACAGTGAGGTTTTCCTGCCTGTAACTTCTCCCACATGCACATCATCTGTCTCGGAGACTGGTAATGAGCCGTGTAATAATCATTAATGCAGCCGAACTGGCAAAACTTGAGGTTGTGGACATACTCCACAGGCTTCCTATTGTTGAAACTCTCAGTCCACATGCCCATGCTCACATCTTCCATCTTGAATAACTGCACAAAAGAAAACTTTTTAGAGCGTCTCAGAAAGTCCTAAAAGCCCAAAAACCTAAACCAATCTTTGTATGTATCTGACAAAGAATTATGTTTTCCATCTCCAGTTATACAAAATGGTATAAGTCGAATCCCCTTAACATCATCCACTTCAACATTTATAACATTTTAAAGGCTTGCAATTTTATGGATCTTACAGCCGCGCATTAGAAAGTACCATCTGTTCTCTTTTGCTTCTTTCAAGAGAAAACTTTTTGTAATGTATGCTATAAAGGCCTGAAGATCATTAGAAAAATTATGCTATTTAAAGAATTGAAAATTTTGTACTATTCCCAAAAAAAGAAGAAATATTATCACTTCCAAGAAATATGAGAGCCAGTGAAGGACAAAAGGCCATTAACTAGTTAGGTTGATAAGCATGCATGTGTTCGTGAACTTTTTTCTTGTTCTTCCATGTCAAACAAACCAGTGCTACATCAAATATTTTTAAAATAACACAAGGAGAATCTAGTTTAATTATGTGAATTATTAGTCAGACAAAAGTAGTCCTATAATTTTGAAGCAACAAAACTCTAAGAAATGATGCATTAAGATACAAGTTAATGGATCTTACTCTTAGTGTATGCTTCTCAAACTCCGAAATCACAAAATGTGCAATGTCAGCTGATACAACATAGCCTGGACCATTAGCATAAGGCGGATAATCCTCCTCTGGCCATTCCTGAAGCACAAAGTTGATATTACTTCACAACCTTAAAATAAAACAATAAGCATACTGCTTCATAGCCGCATAGCCAGAAAGTAAAAACATATTGGTAGTTACAAGGAATAAAAGCACCACAAAAATCAGAAGATTATTGGGTAAGAATTGCACCATTGCCACAAGATAAACAATATATTCTGTTTTGTCATCCATTGAAACAAGGAGTAGCACAATAACGTAAAATAAGACATGCTGATAACTGATAACTACGCAATCAATTGATGTCCATAGGAAACTATGGTTCACAATTCACAAGAGTTTAAAGGTATGCAGTAATAATATGGATAATTGTATTCTACAACGTTTTTCCTTTTTTAAAGGGACATACAGCCAGATGGAACAATATTTATCGGCATACTTATGGTAGATATGTTTAAAGCGAAAAGTCTTGTAACCCGAAAAGAAGAAAGTTTCCAGACTTGTTAAAAAGATTACTTGAGGAAAATAAACTATAAGATGCTAAAATTAATTGAAACAGAGATGCAACCAAGTAAAAACATACATATACTCTTGTTGCAGATATGCAGAGGCTTCCTTAAATAATAATTTAAACATATCTACAAATTAGTAAAAACTGTATACAGTAGACAGCACATACCTCATATGTGACTGCCCACTTTCCAGAACGCAAGGGCTTGTGGTAGTAATTAATATTCCCTATATAAAGGCTTTTATCAGCTGGAACTTTCTTTACTTCCTTTAGAACTGAGTCGAGTCTTACAAATGTGTCATCATCACACTTCATTATATACTTGGCAGATACTGTTCGAACCTATTTTGCAGAAGACAAAAGCAGAAAATGATTAACAACTACTGAGATAATACAGTACCAGCTTAAGCAGCTTAATCTCAACATTCATTAGACAAGATTCACTTACCCCATATTCGCATATTGCAATTGTCTTCAGCACAACTAGATCATAATTATCCATGAAAGGCACTATAACAATGTCCCCAAAGAACTCTGCCTCCTTCTTTAGCTCCATATTCACCTCCTTTCGACCATGCTGCCAATATTAGAACTATCAGATTCTGAACCAAAAACATAGAAACTCAAAGCAACTTGCAGCTGCAACAATTACCAGAGCAACAAAGAACCGAGCTACCACATTTGACGATCTCCTGACTGCAGACATCCATGATTTTCTCACAGCCATGCGTTCCGCAAAATGGTTTCCTGCAGAAAGTATGCCGATAAAGAGTTCGACAGGCTCGTCAGTAAATGGAGGAGCCTGCCACTGAGCAGACAATTCTAGATGCCGTTGTGGGGCAAAACTAGGATGTGTGGAGGGCAATGAAGCAGCATATATTGAATCAATATCAAGGTCACCATTCAATGACAGTCCAGTGGCATCCTCCAGAACAAAACCCTGTAGGCAGGATAAGGTCTTAGATCATCAGAATGTAAGATATTGTTCAGAGGCCAACCTAAGAAAGAACTTTTCAAGCTTAACTTACAGTGCGATAAGGGAAGGATGTTATATGCTTCCCATCAACATTCACATGATAACCTTCTAAACCGGCACTAAGCGTTAGAACAAACAACTTGTCTTCTACAAATGGATATGGCCAATCAAGTGAGACCTTTGTTCGACGAATCAAACGGCTGAACCACCATGACATCTTAGATTCCTCCACCCGGTTATCATCATCACGAATCCATTTTTCACACTTCACCAGCCCATCAACTGCATTAGAACCTCCATATTAGATTCAATAATAAAAGAACCACTGAATTAAAAGTAAAAAAAGGCATTCACAACGCTAATTCACATGCTCTCAAAATGGACTTTCTAAAGTTCAAATTAAATAGTCGATACAAAACAAGCCACAAGAAAATTAAAAAAAATAATTGCAATAATATTCAGAAGCTCAAAAAGGGAATTAGATATTTTTGCCTACGAGTACGCTAGAAAATATACCAGTCTCCTCATCCGCCTTGGACTTCCAGCCCTCACACCGCTGAGGTGATCCCCACTGCATGCGATAGCAAGTATTCTGCTCAATCACCGGTTTCCCGCTCCAATCACCCTTCAATCGGGGGTTGAAGTGGAGGATCCTAGGCGGATCTTCACCATCCACCGTCTTGAGCCCCTGCAGCTCCATCATGAACTGCGACACCATAATAGCCTGCTCACCTTCCTTCAAAGACGAAATCTTTGGGTCATATTCAGCGTGCGCCCGGCGCGGCCTTGCCACCAGAGTAATATGGGAACCCAACGTGAGCCCACAGGGGAGCACCAATACTCTCCCTCGCTCCTGGAACTCTGCGCCCGACAGCATGATCGAGTTTGGGCATCTCTCCTCTGCCCGGCTCTCTTGCAGTGGTGCCGCTGCAGATGGCGCCGGTGAAGCTTGCAGCTCCTCAAAATACCTCTTTCCCACCTCCCACGCGTCCCTCGCCGACTTGTGGAGCTCCGAGAAGGCTCCAATTCCGCTGGCATTGAGCTCCATCAGCGCCAACCCAGACAAGGCCGGCAAGCGACGGCCCCGCCGATCGGGTGGCGGCCGTCGCTGGAAGGGAGCGGGGGAGGACTGCGCCTGCCGATAAGGGAATATGAAGGGGCGAACCGGTGCATACTTCCCCTGGCTCTCCTCCTCGCTGTCGAGTGCGACCCGGCGGGCGACGACGTCGCTTCCGATAAGCCCGCCGGCTCCAGGCGCGAAGCGGCGGGATACGAAAGGGAGCTCGCAGAGGAGTAGGAAGGAGAGGTAAAGCAGCCCTACACCGAGCAGGAACTGCACAAACCTCTTCCGACTCACAGGAATCGACGATTCCAGCTTCGATCTCCTCATCGCTCCACCTCCGGCGCCTGCTTCCCGCTCCAACCAAGAATCGAGCCCGTGATCGATCGGGGCACAACAGCGCGCCCCTCGCGAAACCAAACTCGCAACCCCGAAAGGACCAGATTGGCTTCGGGCGGAAAGAGAAGAACCCCAGCCCTCGTCGCTATCCCTAACCCTAGAGAATTCGGACCAACATGGACGACGAGAAGAGAAGATATAGCCGTTTGAACCTTCGAGGTCCGTTATTTTCTTTTTTCTTGACCAGCCTAAAAATTCGAACTTTTAGCTTTTCTATCCACTGAATGCCACAAAAACAGCAAAATCCATAGTAACCAAGTAACAACACTACACGTCATCAACACCGCGTGAGTGCCAGTCTCGTCTTTGCTGCGCCCTGATGTTCCCTGTCGGTGCTAACTTTTTGTTCGAAAAGAAATGGTCAAAAAAAAAAAATAAAACACCGTGTCAGACTTGTTCTTTGAATGACAAACATGTGTGTCGTTGCAACGGCGCGGGCTTTAATGCTACTAATTAGTCTCCGAGGCCGAACACGACACGACTGGCAGCAGTTTAGTCGCTGCTCGACGCGTTCGTCACGCTTAAGCCGTAAGCAACAAAAAATATAAGCACTTCATGTATGACATTAATTACAATTTTAGGTCAACTAATAGTCAATTAGAGAGCCTAATCAACAACTCAATGGAACGAATGTTTGTTAGCAGGGAGGAGCGGGACCGACTGCCACCTGGCAACAGCGAAACGCGGAGGGGGGCGGCGGTGGCAGGGCGTCGGCATTGATTGGTTTTGGGCCCACCAGGAATTGTCATTGAAGTGCCCCGTCATACGTGTTGTTACCGTTGCATGCAAAATAGAAAACATAAAACAGAAAACAGAAAACGAAAACATTTTTGGATCGTTTTCCAACGGGCTCCGAACGTCGCGTGCTGTGTGTGCAGAGGGCGTGACGACAGATGGAGAAGGATGGGGGGGCATCTTTTGATTCTTTCTCTTCTTCTTTTGGATTTGAATTAAGTAATTACATTAAATCGAAGTTTGCAACAATAACAAAAATAAAATATAATGTCTCAACCAAATCGCTGTGTTAAGTTTCATATGAGATAATATATCTAACTAAATTAAGGAATATTAATAATTAAGGTAAATTTAAACATGGTTTTTGTATTTTTAAATAGACTTAAAATATGTGACGCAAGACACTATAACCGATTTGGCGAACTAAAACGATAGAGTTCTATTCAAAAACATGATTCCATAAGACAGATTTAATTAGAATCGGTGTCGATTAACTCGGAACACTAATAGTTCTATTGACAAGCCTGAATGCGGATCCAATATTTGGGTCGGACTCAAATTCCCATGACGGCCTGCTTAGGCCCGCCTTCCCAGGCCACGTAACGGTCCGTGTGGCACGTAACAGCCTGACGGCCCTTTTTTGCAGCTATAGAAGGGTCCGTGTGGTACATGACGGCCTGACTCGGCCCGTAATCTCAGGCCTTTCCTCGTCTCCGTCTCTCTCTCTGTCTCTCTCGCGACGGGGGAATCCAATGCCTTCACCATCGTCACGGAGTTGCATTCTGATGTCCCTGATCCGATGCTTCTTCGTTGCCTCCTCCCTCCCCCTCACACACAGGTTTGTCTCGCTTCCTCCGATTGCGCCCCATATCCGCTTCTCGTAGCCGTCATCACTTCCTTCGTCACTGCAGCTCGGATGTGAAGGCGCTGAAAGTCGGTGAAGAAATTAAGGGCGAGACAATGCCATTGAACTCCGGACAACGCACCTACGAGCTGCTCGGCCTTAGAAGATCCGCGTCCTACGAAGTCAAGATATCATATCCGGCCTCTGTTTGTTCTTTTGCCCCAATGAGCTCTTGCTTTGCCTTTTTCTTTTAGTTTCTTATGAAGATCATCTTGATCTCATTGAACTTAACATTGCAATAGATACCTGCTAGCTTCTCCATTCAACTGCAGACGACCTTGCCGGAAATTTGGTCGAGAAAGAATAGGAGATTGCTTAATACGGAGAAACTGATTTTTAAGGCTGATAATGACGAATCAGTAAGCAATGTTGGCTTGTTCTGTTCGTTGATTTTGTTTCTGATTTGATATGATGCTTTGCACGTAGGCTTTTGTTATTTTGACGGTCGACGCTGCCGGGGTTGTTGCCAAGCCAAATGTGCCGGAGAGAGAACTGGTCATCTATAACATCGGTATGTGATGAATAAATTGACATTTTTGTCTTATGGTTTCGGGGAGTTATGATCATTATAAACAATAATCTTCTGTGTCCTTGTGCCATCAAAAGTACATAAGAAAACGTGTTAGAGATTGGAAGAGAAATTCAAATTTTCTTCATCCTAGCATGACACTTTTATTGATTTATATTGTTTAATTTGTGTAAATAATTTAGCCTTTATAATTGTTGCTTTTGTTTAATGACAAATTGAATGCAATGATTGTTTTAACTGTTTTGCTTTTCTTATTATGGTTTTTCATTTCATATCTCCACTGTTGTTACAAAACAAGAAACCTATATACTGAAGCTATGATCTTTGCTTTGAGTTTAAGATCGAAAAAAAGAAACTGATCTTTGTTAAGCCACATAATATTATGGTTTTCTTCTATTGTTTTGTTGTTTTGAGCTGAAAGAGACTTAAGTCTCTCCATGAAGATTTCTTTTAAATTCTCTCTTCATTTTCATTTAAATTCTTGTGTTATTATGATCACATCTAATCTTATCCGAGCTCATAACACAATCAACTTCAACTATAGAGACCACTAATAGAGTTATCATATGGTAAATAACCGAGACACACTCTAAGTTCCTTTTGGACCTTGTTTAGGCTTTCAAAGAGTAAAATTCTTAGTCGTTTCTGACCTGAGGAGCATGTATGTAGAGAAAATGGTCCACCGAATGTATACTACTAACTATGGTCACATCTATGATGGGTCTTTCTTGCATGATCTCTCAACTTTGGGACACTATTCACCTTTCTGTTCCTGAACATAGAACATGACATCTTCATCAACATCCATGAGATTTTTTCCCATGAATGTGGTTCAGCTATAAAGCCAGGAAGAGTTGATAGAGTTCTCTTTTTGATCTTCAACTAGTGGCCAGACTCATCCAGAGTATTTTCCTAGCAAGTCTAATAAATTTTTCCTCACCTAGTGTACTCATTGAGGTTCCTTTTTACCATATTTTTTCATCTTTCTTCAGTTCTTCATTTTTACCATATTTTTTATCATCAGCGTTCTTTTGTCTTGTGCAAATACTTATCATTTCAGTTTCAGATCTGTCCTACATGGATCCACTCATATTGTCTTCCATGTTTTATAACCTCTAGTTCTATTGGTCTGTGAAATTTTGCAATGTCTGCAATAGACCTGAACATGCCTTCTGATTCTTCTATGTGGCACATGTGCACTCAGTAACATTTTCAACAAAGTATGTACTTCAGCTTGCCATTATCTTGAGAAAATTTTAATTAACAGTATCATTTTTTACTTTTTTTCAACAATAATTTGTTTAAAAGATTTTTTTTTGTGCCTTACCCACATGAAAAATATCGATTGTAGTTTGAAGTTTAGACGTGAAATCCTTGAAAAGAAGAAAATGTTGCCCACTTCTATCTTGACTAAATTTCATTGTTGCCTCTCTGTGATATTTATGTCAAGTAGCTCATGGATTGTCAGAATGAACACCCATTTTAGTAAGTCTTCCAAGTATGATATGGAAAAACAAACAAACTAGGGGAACAAAATAAATGGAAGCATTCAATTCATACCGCTTCAGTATACCTTGTTCTACATACTGCCCATCATGTTACATACTAATTTTTTCACAGTTGGTATATGACGAAATCATCTTCCTTGGTGGTCACTTCTTTATGCCAGTTAAGTTAGGGATGCCAAGCTCTAGATACATTTTAAAGTGTGTTCATTTTATAGCATTCTTGTTCCTTCATACTTGAGACGGCTCCATCAAGCGAACCCAATTGTGGCCCTGTTGTCATTGATCAAAATGCCTTGTATACCTGTTGCTTAGCAATATCTTGAGTTTTAGGAACAAAAAGAGAGATGCATTGCCTTTCATTAAGATTAATAGTCAAATAATTGATATTGGGCTGTAGTCTTTTCTTATGGAAGTATAATTTTTGGAACATGGAGAGTAAGCATGACAATATTTTGAAATGAATGTCCAGGGCCTTCAAAACTGAAACCTTATTCACAACCCTTCAAGTAAGGTTATAAGCTTTCCAATGTAGCAGTTGTTTTCAAGATTGCTGGAGCCATGAGTCTTTCAGTTGCTTCATGGATTCAAGACAAGCTGCTTTTCAGTGTGAGCTAAAAGAACCTTATTAGCTGTAGAAGATATAAAAATGAAAAATAATATGGTAGGGAAGAAAAAAGAGATTATGGTAGCACTAGTTCCAACATAGTGAAGGGAAAGACCTAATTTCTGAGGTATGTGGACTTAACAACCTAGCTTATCAGGTGAATTTTTTTTTTTTTTTTGGTTCTTGATAGTAATAATGGATCTGTGGATGTTGTTTGTCTTAATGTTATGACATTTTTTTTAATCTAAATTACCAGTGACATGGAACAAAATGGAGTGCCAACTGACACCTAGATAAAACAAAATTCTACAATTTATTGATTAAATTGATATCACAGAATAATAGGTGACTTGCAAACTTTTATGTTTGAGCACATATTAATATAATTGTTCAGCTGCAGAAATTAAGTAAAATGCTGTGTGTGGATATTTCCTTGTTAACATTTTGCCATTTATTGATTTTCCATATTTAGTTGCATTTAAGACTGGAGACAGTTTGATGGCCATCTGCATCTTGGATGGTAAATTAGAACATCTTTATGCTTAGAACAGACATTCTAAATACGTTCTCAACGCAGACTAGTATCCTTTTGGGCTTTTATTTTAGTTGCACATTGTGTTCTCGTTTTTGCAGTTTGTGATGAACTAATGTTAGGGATTCCACATGGTGCTTGGTGGGTTGGAGTTGCAGCTCTTCTCTGTTTGTTGCTGGGCATCCTTATTCCCAGTTTCTTCCCGCTTCATCTATTGCTCAAAGATGAAGACCTAGAATCAGAAAATATAGCTTTGACTAAGGTTTCATGATTCGGATATGGCAGTTTTTAGACATTCAAAT